GGTGGGGGTGCCCCGGGGGGGGGGGGAAGGTCGCGGGGCGTGGGGGGAGGCTCCTGTGATGTGGACAACTCTGCATCTGGTGCTTGAGAGACTCGTGATTTCTAACGACACAGCATTATCCTTACCCGCCGCCAGATGCTTGCCGCCTTCGCTCGTGATTATTTATTCGTTGCACCAGACTGACATACCCGTTCCTTTTCTTTGTTGTACTTCCATCTATATGTCTCTGTCCTCTGTCTGCCTGTCTCTGTCTCTCTGTCTCTCCCTCTGTCTGTCTGTCTCTCTCTTTCTCTCTTTCTCTTTCTCCCCCCCTCCGTACAACATGTGTCTTGGCGTGCATTCAGGGCCTGTCAAAATTAGCTTCGGATCCGTGTGCGTCTGCGAGAAAAGGGGTTTGCGAGGCCATGGTCTTGCTCGTTGAGGTGAGAAAAAACAGAGTTGAACATGAGATACGGCCGAGATAAGTATGAACGGGGGGGCAGGGAGGAGGGCGAGCAGGGAGAGAAAGAGGGGAAAGCCAATAGGCGTTCTGTATCTGCGTCTCGAGAGTAAAAAACCTCGTGTTTACCATGCTTTTTTTTCGTTTCAACAGGATGCATACAAGTAGTCTTTCTTGTTCCGCACGTTTAAGCCGTACCGCTACTGCTAATGCTGTTGTACTCTCAAAGCGAGTTCACGGTCTTATGTGCACGACCGCCTTTTCTTGCGCAGTAGCCTTCGCAGGGTTTTCGCGGTATGTCAACATGCTGGATAAAGCATACAATCGGGGAAGTTGGGTTAGGATTAGGAATGGGCATAGGTGGTGCGTCCGCCCTCCCCGTTCTATTTCCCCATTTCTTACTGATGGCGTGAAGGCGGTCCTTCTTCGCGGCCTCTACTACAGCAATGTTTGTGGTACGCTTAAAACGACTGAGCTTATGTGCGAATGCTCTTTTCTGCCCGGCCTCTACTATTGCTTTGCGTACGCCTAAGACTAATGATTGGGATGATGTGCAAAAGCCCTTTTCTTTGCGGCCTCTACTAATGCTTGTCGTACTCTTGACGAATACTTGGGCTGATGTGCAAGGGTCCTTCCCTTCGCAGCCTCTACTGGGACGTGGGATGTCTTACGAATTCTCCCTCTCGGCAATGTGGCGAAAAACTCATGTGCTGCCAGCTGGCTTATCTAACATTTGTTTCGCTGTTTGGTCACACGGACGGCAGGTTAATGTGGAGATTATCCTGCCCCGCATGCAGGGCATCTGCGAGTTTATGCTAGTGGCACAACAAGATCCGGATCCTGAGGTGTGGGTGAAGGATTGATTTTGATCGATTTCAGCAAATGTGAAACACCCCCCATGCAATTTTGATGGCACCCGTGTTTGGTACAGCGGTTTAGCTCCGTTTGCGAAGTGGTTTAGTTTCAAAGTTGTTGGGGGCAAGCAAGTGATGTGCACGATCTACGAAAGAGAATTATTGCAATAACAGAGCGACGAATTGCTCTATCCACGGACAGGAAGAAGGGAAAAAACCTCAAGGAAAAATAAGCAGATATGTCCTAGATAGCAATAAATCCGTCGTCAGCTTTAACAACTGGTGTCGGTGTGTTTGGACGCCGCAGCCAGCGTCGCACGGGAGAAGGCTTGGCAGGATTTTTTTTCACTTTTTTTTGTTTTCTCTCCGTCCTCCCTTCTGCGGTGGTTGACTCAATGTTAATCCCGAGAAAAGATTCAGTCCTTAGTCCCTAGTCGACGATCGTCAAGCAGAGTTTTGCCACAGTAACGAACCGATTGGGCTCGACGGTATCACTGGCACGGAATAATTGTACACTCTGGACATGTGGTCGTGCCTCTCCCATGGGTTGTGGCACTTTGGAAAAAAGTAGTTGCGTGCATTCCAACCACCAGCCGCTGGGGGCTCAGCAGAGTTGCGCCTGGTACCCTTAGTTTGGACATGAACATCTTTTGCATGACACAGCATACGGTTACGTTTAACGACGAGCCATTTATTTTGGTATACCTTTTCTAGGTACGTTAGCCTGTGACCACGGAAATTGGCCGAGTCAAGTGATGGATTAGTACGGAGAGAATGAGACAGAAGGAGGTACTGGATAGAGAGACCGGGATGGTTTTCAATGTGAAGACAACAACAACAACAACAACAGGTTGACCTGTAGAGTTGCAGGCAATCATACTTTAGATAGCTACCCATCCTGCCATGGTCATCCAAGGAGCTGGGGGTGTAGCTCAGGGGTAGAGTGTTCGCTTCGCATGCGAAATGTCTAGGGTTCAAATCCCTACTCCTCCACTTCTTTTTTCCCGTTTTCCTTATCTTCCGCGTTTTTTTTCTGTGGTTTCGCTGGCGCGCACAGCCGCGTCTCTCACTCAAGGCATGGCACGCAGGGCGAGCGGTACGCTCTATTATATTAGTATCATTTATGATTTGTGACATTTATTAGAGACTTAATTATATTCGCTCGCACAATGACATACCAACTTGAAGCAAGGTTTGCATCCCACGAGAAGAGCAACAGCTGTGACATGTTCCGCTTTCTGATTTCTGGTGTGAACGCTTTGCATACGCATGCCGATATCCAAGAAGTTTTTTTGTTTGTTTGCATCCCTCGGTTCTCATTCAACTACAGTATAGCAGTAGAGAACGCCGCCATAGCGCTCCGCTGTGGATGCATAGATTTATCAAGCTCAAGAGGTTGTACAAAATATTTTTCCCAACAAGGCAGTTTCATCTCTGTTTACTGCTGTAGCTTGTACCCATGTTTTGTTTCGTTTTTTTTGTGGTCATGTGTAATGTGGACACGTACTGCTGTGTGATGTAGGTCTCCACCGAGGCTGGCGAGTTCTGGATGGCGGTTTGTGACAGAGGGGAAGGCTTGGAGGTGCTCATCGATATGTTACCAAGGTGGGTTACATTAGTCTTGGTAGTTGGGCTCATTGGCTATTAGTGATTCGGATCGAGGGTGTTGGATGGGTAGTGATGTGCTGATCAATGTCTCGTGCCTCCCGCGAACGCTGCGGCTTGCTAATATGAGTTTGATTCGCGAGCTTAGGCTTAGAAGTGCTGGTTATCATGCTGACGACGTTACCGTAGACACGTTGCATGAGATATGTGCCAGAGAAGACAGGAGGGCGGTACCGAAGATGATGGCTTTGGAACCACCTCGTCGAGAGCTACCGTGTATGACACAGGATAACACACCCCCTGGACTGATTTTCGAAGCCCGATCACGCAAAAGTAGCCAACACTCTCAGGGCCGAAAACTGCAGCGTTGAAGCCGTCTGGTCAAGAGCTCTCTGAAAATGCATCCTTTCGTCTATGCATCTTCTTCGTCGTGGAGTAATCGAGCTTTGAAAATTGGTCCACGGGGTGTGTTATCTTGTGTCATGAACAGTATGAATATATTCCCTTTATCGTGGAGGAGTCGAGCTTTGAAAATCCGTCCAGGGGAAGCTATACGTCTTGTCGCCTACAGTAGATACACCAGCCATACAGCAGCAGCCATATTATCGGTGTTTCAGAATACTGTAAGGGTTGAGAGAAGTGGGGATCGGAAGTTCCGACAAACTTGCCGCCTATGAAGGTTGCTCGAAGGCTAGGGGATACGACTTGGGAGGGAAGAGGTCGTCGAGTCTTAGTGTGCGTTTTTGACAGGATGGCAGGCTAAGGGTTGAAGCGCCGCTGAAAGTGTCACCAATGTGATACGGTTGAGAGCGAGCGGCCGCAGGTCGGAGGCAAAGAGGGAGGCAGACACCCACTCGGGTCGTAAGCTCCGCACAACAGGCGTTCACGCTCAAGACAATTCGTCGACCGACCAGTCGTTCTTGTCTTCGAGCCGGATCGCCTGCAGATGAGTAAATTATGAAGCAAGGAAGGGCCGTCGTCGCTATAATTGCGCTTTTTGTTATATCCGACTTTTGCTTGTGTGTCGGACAATGTGCATGGAAATTTATGAACAGGTTAATTCCGGTGCTGGTGGCATGCACGGTATACTCGGCGGACCAGATCGCGGAGTTCGAGTCGCTTCCTGCGGTGGACGAGCACATCCCGGACGCTCCTGAGGACATTCGGCCTATGTTCCACCGCGCAAAGAGCGGGGGTGAGATGAGACCGTTGCCTGATGCTAGGTAGCATGCTTGTTGGTGTTGTTGTCTTGACATGAATAACAACCATTCCGAACTCTCTATCCAGTACCTCCATCGTGGTAGATACGCCATTTTTTTCTTTCAGGCAGGCGACGAGAGGGACGTCTGTCCACGTCGTTATGGGCGGTATGTCGGCTCTTGCCCGTCGAGAGCCTTGAGCCCGCAGCTGGGGCGGGGGGGAGACGGAACGAGATTTCCTCGCTGCTGACTGTACCGGGTAGAGCGCGGAAATCGTTCAAAGATGACAACAAACTCGACAAGGGCAGCAGTTGCAGTAGCGGCAGCAGTAGCCGAATCCCTCCGCATATGTCCGTGTTTTATTGGTTACATCGACCGCGCAAACCGGCTGAACGATGAAAAGACGTCAGTCTCAGCGCGGTTGAGAATAGTGGAGAATGCTTCTACAAGTAACGGCCATGTTTTTTTTGAAGCATTACAGACCGCGCTATAGCCGACTGACGATGATGTACGCGTGTGTTTGCGTGCTAAACGTGCTTGAACAAAGGTGGTGGAGGTGGGGGCGGACTCGACGATGATGACGACGATGACGGGAGCGATGCGGACGGGGTGGCGGAGTGGCACCTGAGAAAATGCGCCGCCGCCGCCCTGGACAGCCTGTCCACGTCCTTCGGCCCCGACCGTGTACTGCCTGCCCTGCTACCGGCGTTAGAGGTGCGGGCGGTTTCAGTTGTTCATGGTGTTGCTGGTGGTGGATGTAGTTGGTGTCGTCGAGCGTGGACCTGTGGTAGATGCCGGCAGGGAGGGAGGGTGATGATAATCGCCGTCTTGATCCTCTCAGCCAACGCTCTGGGGTGTGGTTCATGGCTTCTACACCGCGGTTATTCTTGCTGCGCTGCTTAGCTGGAAGCTTAACCGCGAAAGAAAGATTTAGCGGTCCTTCCGTCGTTGTGTTCGTTTGCTCGAGACTACGTTGTGTTGGTGTCGGTGTTGGTGTTGTTGTCTTTGGTTCTTGATGTTGACGAACTTTAGGAATGGACACGACGCAGTTTCACAAGTCGAGTTCGCTATCGCTGTTTTTTCTTTTTGTGTTTGCTTTTTCGTCTCTGTTTTATATCAAATCCAATGCGCTTGACAGATGTATTTTTTGATAACACGGAAATATAAAACAGGAGAGACTCGCGAGTGCGGACGTGTGGCAGCGAGAGAGCGCCATGCTTTCCCTTGGGGCGGCGTCGGAGGGATGCCTGGAGGGGCTGGGCCCGCACCTCCCCGCCCTATTCAGCTTCCTCATTCAGCAGCAGAAGGCGGAGACCCCGCAGCTCAGAAGCATCGCGTGCTGGGTCCTGGGGAGGTTCATGAGGTGTGTAGTCATGAATTGTTGTGTGGGTGTAGGTCGGTGCTTCCATGTTTGTGTGGCTCATCAGTGTATGCTGTACTTGGTAATACATTCCGCTTTTTTCCATCAACCGAGCAAAAGAGGCTGACCAATGGAAGAAAGCTTTCGATTTTGCGGGGCCCCCCTCGACAGCAGTGTGTGGATTGCGACTGACCGTTGTGGACCGGAAAATGGGTACAACAGCAGTAGCCAACCTCTTCTGATTGAGTGCTGGTTGTTTATTACAGGACCGCTACATGTCTTGTGTGTGTGTTTTTGGTGTGTGTGCTGATTGAGGTATACCGGTTTGTGTTTTGTGCGTGTGGTCATCGGGGACAGAACCTCCTTGATGGTGGGTCGTGTGTGTTGCGGCGACGTGTGACGTCTTACGGCCGGCTCCCTGGTACTGTATGTCTCTTGGTGCTTAGTGCAATGACGGGGCAATACAAGGATGCCAACATACCCTGATTCTGATTTGATCCGCTTTTTTTTTTTTTTTACCCTGATTCTGGTTGGATCCGCTTTGTTTATTTTGTTATGTTTTCGGATCGTTTACGGACTAATGTGCGGTAAGACTTCGCGCGTGTCCTCTCGCACAAACACACCAGGGCTGGGCACAACCGTGCCGCCGACTACCGACTTCTACGCGTGTTGAACACGCCACCTTCCCACTCTGTTCGCAGGCGCACTTCGAGTGCGGCCCCCCTCAAACACCGAACATTTTTTTTGCAGGAATACAGCTGCTGTCGAGAGAGCGGCCAGCCACCAGCGCAGCCTCGAGCAGTCTTTGAAATGTGAACATTCGTCCATTCCGATTGTTGTGGATTGTTTTTGTTCATAGTTTTTCAGTTATTGCTGTAGCCCGATCGCGGAACTGTTTTTTGCGTGCCACATAAAAAAACAAAATTAAACATAAACACAGGTGGATCGTCGGGCAGGAGTCGGAGGAGCACTACCTGGTCCCTGTCCTGAGGGGGCTCATCGAAAGGCTTCTCGACGGCAACAAAAAGGTGCGTACATGCCTGATACACGGCAGCACCATACATAGGTATTCACTCGCACATCAAGAGTGAGCGAGCGGCATGCTCTTGTTGGTCCTTTTCGCTCGAACTCCTCTACCAAGCCCTCTCGTGGCTGCGAATTGATTGGACGTATGTACGTATGATACCGTCGGTACCTGGGTTGGTTTAGCCGCAACCGAGCTTGGGTCTAGGTTGTAACTGCGGGAAGAAAGGACAAGAAGATGCCTGTTTTTTTTTTGTGAGCTGGATTATTATAGTACGGAGGAAAAGGTGTTGGAAAACGGTCGCAAATGTTTTTGTATGTGATGACGCGAGAAGTACAACAGCAACGACGGCGGCGACTACGACACCACAGGTGCAAGAGGCAGCGTGCTCCGCGTTGTCGGTGATGGAGGAAGAGGTTGGCTACCGCTTGCAGGTCTACCTTGATCCTATCGTCAGGTAGGTGCCGTGACAAATCGCGCACGCACGAGTACACTACACTACATACCCTCGGACGGATGGTACGATGTTTGCGGTACCCCTTCACGTCTCATTTCTCTCGAGCATTTTGATTGCCCACCTTATGGATCGATTTTCGACGCGGCCTGTTCGAGCACTGTTGTGTACCGTGTGGCATCACCAAGCGATTGTTGTGTCGCGCTTTTCTTGTGCGCATTTTCCCTTCTGTCGTTTCTCTTCCTTGTCTTTCTCTGTCCCTCTGTCCATGTCGCTCCCTCTCCCCCCCTCGCGATAACGGTTGGACGTTGACGGTTTATTCCTCAGGTGCTTTGCGGCGGCGTTGGCCAAGTACCAGACTCGAAGCCTGATCGTACTGTACGACACCATCGGTACCCTAGCCGACAACGCGGGAAACTGTCTCGCGCAGCCGGCCCTGATGACCGTGTTGATGCCTCCTCTCATGCAGAGATGGAATCAGGTAAGAGAGAGAGAGAGAGAGAGAGAGAGGGAGAGAGAGAGAGAGGGAGAGAGGGAGATCCTATGGTAGTCATCTGTTGCCGAGTGGGTCGCTCTTTTGTGATGCCCACGCTCGTTCTCTATTTTGAAATATAGGCTTATGTTCCTTGTTTGTTGATTCCTCTGTATGTTCGATGCTTACCCCTGGCCTGCTTCGGCCTGCTCCGGTCTTCCCAGTCCTTTCTACATATGCATGGTAGCGTTTATTCGTTCCGTTGTTTTTTTCTGTCGACCGTTCCGTTTCAAACATGTCGCTTTTTTGCCACACCTTGTATCCGCGGGCTCCCGTGTTTTGGTTCTCCCTTGGAAGTCTTTTTTTTTTCTCATTTGGAGGGTTCCTGGTCCAAAGCTAGGTTTCCTTTGGTCCTACAAGCCATTGCGTGTTTTAATCACGCTGTTCCTTGTCGTACACCCTGTTTATTCCTCTTGTCTGCTGCGAATGCTCAACTTGCATCATCCCGGAAGGTGGCGGACGACGACCGTACGCTCTTGCCGGCGCTGGAGTGCCTCGCTTCTATCGTTATCGCCGTAGGAGGCGCGTTAGACGTAAGGGAGAGGCAGGGATGATGAGCGTCGTTTCTTTCTTTATTTCTTTGGGTATCGTACCGTTTTTTTCTCCTGTGCGCAAAAGGTGTGGAGGTGATGCTAGCATACCACTTAATAATGCACATGCAACGAAAACCGCAGCAAGATACTATACGATACGATACGATGCAAGCGACGAGGATCTTGTTTGAATTGATCCTTGGACGGCAGCAAGAAAGCCCAGCTCTGGATTCGACTTAGTCCACTTGCTGGCCCAACCGGCCTTGCCGCCCTCCTTCATTTTTGTTCTTACTCCACTTGCTTATTGGAAAATTTGCGTGTTTTCTTGTTCGCTCCGCTTTGCTTTTGACGCATAAAACTTGCTTGTGCAGGCGTACATCATGCCCATCTTTTCGCGATGCCTCAAGCTGACGGAAAGCACACTCTTGGGACACGCTGCGGCGGACCAACCGGGGTACCAGGTACAGCAGTACCGCAAGGAAGGCGGTTCGTTGATGATGTCATTGGGTCATTCATTCAAGGGTGCGTTTTTTTTGTCATTGTGCCGTAGGTTGTATGATGTAAGATTACACACCCCCTGAACCTATTTTCGAAGCTCGATTACTCCACGGCGAAGAGGATGCCGAAATCGAAGTGCACGTTCTCGGAAAGCTCTCGACGAGACGGTTCCAACGCCTCCTGCCGTTAGGCACCGTCGCTGCTATTCCCGCCGAGATATCGAGCTGCGAAACATGGTCCAGGGAGTGTGGTGTCTTACACAACCTACGTAGTCTTGCCGCTCCTGCTGCCTTGTCCTTGTCGGCTACACTGTCACTGCAGATAGTGCCGCACTTGTGTGTTCTCGCACCTTTTTGTTGTTGTTGTTGTTGCTCGACCGCTAGTTTTTGTTGGGTTTTTGTTTGGGTTGCTGGGTCTTCCGCCTGCCTGGCGTACCAATTTGGTGCTTTCTGTTGGTTCGGTACGGCTAACCTTGCCGACGCCTAGGAAACATTGTGCAAATACTTTAGTGTCACGTATGTACGAAGTAAAGTGCGCTTATTTTTCGTTGCGGACGTGTTTGAGTTTTCGGTTGTGTTTCCGTGAAGTTTGGTTCGCGCTTTTTCTCTTTTCCTTGTCCATTGCATGTTGGTGTTACAGCAGTAGGGTATGCTCTGTTGGTGTTCACGTTTGGGAACCTGCATCGATCGGCGTCTGTGTGTTGTTTCGTGCCCCCTCCTCCCTCGACCGTTTTTTTTTTTCATCAGACGGAACCTCCGGAAAAGGAGTTCATGGTGTGCGCTCTCGATCTCCTGAGCGGGATGTCGGAGGGGCTTGGGGGCAGCTTCGGCTCTCTCCTCGCATCGAGCAATCTCTTGCAGTTGCTTTTGCAGGTGACGCCATCGTTCGTTCGTTCGTTCGATCGTCCTCGATGATGACGCTTCCTAGTGGTTGTTTGTTAATGTTGTAGGGAGGTGAAATTGCATTCGTTCGTTCTCGGCGATCGCGCTATCATACCTGCATGCATATATTTGGTTTGTTGGTCCTGCGGTTGACGTCATCATTCGTTCGTGCTCGGTGATGACGCTAATCTATTGGTTTTGTTTACCTTGTTTTTATTTTTGGGTGACGGCATCTTCTGTTCGTGCTCGGTGATGACGCTAATCTATTGGTTGGTTTTGTTGACTTTGTTTTTATTTTTGGGTGACGGCATCTTCTGTTCGTGCTCGGTGATGACGCTAATCTATTGGTTGGTTTTGTTGACTTTGTTTTTATTTTTGGGTGACGGCATCTTCTGTTCGTGCTCGGTGATGACGCTAATCTATTGGTTGGTTTTGTTGACTTTGGCTTTGTTATTATTTCAGGCGTCGGCATCATTTGCTCCTTCGTTCTCGGTGATGACGACAAATATACTTGTATTTTCAGGACATACATGCAATCACAGAGTGACTATGTACCCGTTCGACATAGTCGTAGGGGATGTTTTGTGAAGTCTATGCAGTGAGCTTTTTTTTTTTTTGTAAAAAATGGTGTGCATGTATGCGTTGCTTTTGAGTTGACCTTGTGAACTAACTCCGACCGCGGAACGATGTGGGGTCTCATGTGTCTTGGGACAAAGTTACGGCTAGATTGCCACGGTTTTCCCTTGTGTCTGGTCCTACCTTTATTTTGTCTTGGCCGATCTGTTATAGTCTGTCTCGCTGTGTAAGCCACGTTTGCTGAATCAGCCATCGTGTCATCATGCGAGACTTCTGCTGTATGCAGACTGGTGATTTTGGTTGGTTGAGGTGCGCTGGGCTCTTCGAGTCAGCTGTGTGGACTGTTCCTGCTGTCTGCTTCTTTTTTTTTGTCATCTTGCAACACCAACCGGTTCAATGGCATTGCTGCGCTCGCACGAGCCGACTCCCCTCCTCGAGCGATCTCTATTAGACCCCCCGAGCGTACGCAAGGACATGCGCACTATTGGTCGCTCTTGGGCTGATTCATGGCCTTGACTGTGCTCCTTTAATGTGCCAACATAGCAGCAGTTTTGGTTGCTCTTGAGCTGATCGACACGGCCGGCCGTTGGGTGTGCTCTTGTACACAGTGCAAGACGGCTGCATTGCATTTGCTCGTACTTTGAGCTGATTGATTATCCTTGGGTTGTGCGCGTGTCTCTCTGGAAACTGCTGCAGTGCTGCGGGGATGAGTCTGTGGAGGTGCGGCAGTCGGCGTTCGCCGTGGTGGGGGAGCTGGCGAAGTCGTGCATGTCTCACCTCAAGCAGGCCCTGCCTCAGGTCAGTCAGCCGCAACCAACCGTGGTTTGTTGTCGTTTGGTGCTGCTGTTGTTGCTGCTGCTGTTGCCAATTTTTTCCTTTCTGCGAGGCTTTTATGTTGTTTCCGCTGTTATTTTGTGTTATTGGTGCTGGTGATGTACTTCTGTAGTGCGGTTGCTTTGGCGTTCTTTGATGTTCTTGCGCTTTGTGGTTCCCGTCATGACGCCGTAGCCTATATTGTTGCTGTCGGTGCGTCTTCAAGAAGCAACAAACGAACCTTGACCCTTGGCGCTCGCGCGATGCCCCACGTGGACCAGTTCCTAGAACGGCTGCGCGTGTCTGAGATACCGCGATCTCGTCTCTCGTTGTTGTTTTTTTTTTTCTTCAAGAATAAAAGCCCGCCCTGGCTATCATCCGTTTCCACCACGCCCTCTCTCCCTCTTAACCCCTCCCTGTGATCCCTCGCAGGAAATAGTTCCCAAGGCGCTCGTTTAGCGAGTGGGCGATGCTTACAGAGCGCTCGAATGTTTGCCCTCCTGCTCTGCTATTAGAAGTTTCGTCGTCGATGTTGACCCCAACGAACGACTCTCCAGCCAACCAACAACTGACCCCCCCCCCCCCCCCCCCCCCCCCCCCCCCCCCCCCCCCCCCCCCCCCCCCCCCC